GAGTTTAATGGGATCCTGAATGCGCAAAACACACGGCAAAAAAACTCATGTAGCAAATTTTGTGAAATGCATTCCACGTTTTTGGCTTGCTTGTTTTAAAACGCGTAAACACGGAGGAAAAGCGTGCATCTTTCTGGCCATGTTTTGCGTGCCATTAGAAATCAATGGCAATGCAAGCGCATTTTGTGTCTTGCCATGTTTCTGTCAATGCATGGCAAAGTGCGCGGTTTGGTGTCATGGAATCTATTGTATTTTTATTGACTTTGTGAATAATAAAGTGTAAAAAATAATTAGCGTCTTCTATGAGGCATTTAGACCAGAGTTTCTGAACCAAGGTTCTGTGGAGCTCCAGGGGTTCTGCCGCCATTGCAGTGGCTTTACATCCGCCCAACGGTGGCTTCACTTTTCCCCCTGCTTGCTCTATTTTTTGCGTTTGCTGTGCAACTGAACACAGGCAAAGTTTTGCCACACGTCTGATCGCACTGTGGGCAGGGGGGACGTGGAAGCTTTGCCATTGAATTCAATGCACCGCCAAGCTCCCTCCCACCCCAGAACGCAGGGGGAAGTTTTGTGAGGGATCGCGGTGCGTTCCAGCAGCTACCGCTCTGGAACGCACCACATTAGGTGTGAACAAGCCCTAATATTTTAAAAGCACATAGTTTTGACTGGTGATATATAAGGCTGCAGTGGGTTTAGGAGTGAGGTATCTATAGATCTATAGTGTTTTTAATATATTTTCTGTACTTATTATGTTAAAAAATACAAATAAAATACTATGATGATTTGTTTACTTTTTAATAAGCAAAACATATAGTAATATGTATTTACCATTTGCAGCCATCAGGTGGAGCTCTATGCGAGTCTGAATAGCAGCTGAAATGTCAGTAAGCAGACATTGTGCTAAACACAAACTCTATAGGAAGAACAACCCTCCCACTGTTCTGCTAGTGGATTTAAGGACAATTATAATGAAAAATATTGTTTTCTTATAGTTGTATGCAGAAAATACATGTGAAAACAATATTTGGGATATGATCTGTTTTATTTCAGATACCTTCATTCATTATTTTCTCATGTATTTATGATCATGATGCGGGACATTACATGGGACAAGGAGCGGTATACAATGACCACCCTTGAAGAAAATGGGGCTCTTGTTGACTATGAGCAGGTGAAGAGACACTGTTGTTATGTCACTGGTATGTCACCTTTCCCACTTGCACACCGCAACATTGCGCACTGTATTTATGTGCATTCATTTCAATGGGCTGCCCGATAAGTTCATGCACCTTTTAGAGCTTCCAGCTTTGCATGTTTTTAACCATGCATTTGCTACGTGTGTTGCTTGGCGCCTTTGGGGGCCATTAATATTGAATGGCACTGCAAGCATGACAAGCATTTTTCACATCACAGGGTTTTGGGTACATTCATGCACTACACTAAAGTGATTGGGGGCTCCGAACTGCAGGGACAATGCCAGTGACAAAGCAGCTGAAGTGTTGGGTGCTAAAGATTATAGTTCCAGATACACAAGAATGTGAAGATTGAAGGCAACCTACATAATGATGAGTAATATAATTGTGTTGTACAATGCTGGACATGTTGTAAACTTCATCAACGTTGTCAAAACAGTGTGTCTTGAACTTTTGGTTTGAACACTCATTACTGAATCCATTGGTTCAGTATGACAGCCAGGAAACTAGCATTTTCAGAGTAAGAGGTCAGTAATGTCAGCCTACAAATGGATGGAGTGCTTACAGCCCAATTACAGGAGTTACTCGTGTTACTTTGCAATAGACAGAAATGATTCTGTACCCATAAAATGATTGGTGGCTTGTCTCTAAAGAATGACTTTCATCTTTGTATTCTTCATCTTTGTATCACTATACAAACCTTCAGTGAGTGTGTGCGTCCTACAGGAGGCAGTCATGCCGTGCAGAAAACTATGCTCGCAAAGTGTCAAATTATGATTGTGGACAAGTTTGCATTTTTAAAGCTCCTTAAGGCCCATGTCACACTTGTGATCCTGTTGTGCTGGCAATTTGTGAGCAATGGGGAAGCTAAACAGAGCACTCATCTGTCTCTATGGCATACTTGGGTTGCTATTCAGATTGAATAACTCTTTCACCTACCATGACGCCAGTAAGAGGATCGCTATACAGAGCACACACCTACCGCTATGGAGCCAGTAAAAGGATCACTAAAGAGAACGCTCACCTACCTCTATTGTATACTTGGGTTGCTGTTCAGATTTAATACATCTTTGACCTATCCGTATGGTGCCAGTAAGAGGATTGCTAAAGAGAACACTCATCTACCCCCTATATTACCAGTAAGCAGACTGCTAAAAGGATCACTCACCTACCATGGCACCAGTAAGAGGATTACTAAAGACAGCACTCAACTACCTCTGTGGCACCAGTAGGAGGATCACTAAAGAGAGCACTCATTTACCTCTATGGTGCCAGTAAGAGCGTCGCTAAAGAGAGCACTCACCTACCCCTATGGCCCCAGTAGGAGGATCAGAAAAGAGAGCACTCACTTACCAATAAGAGGTTCTCTCAAAAGAGCACTCACCTACCCCATCGCACCATTAAAAGGATCACTACCTCTATATTGCCAGTAAGAGGATCACTAAAAAGAGCACTCACCTGCCCCTATATTGCCAGTAAGAGGATCACTAAAGAGAACACTCACCTAACCCTATGGTGCCAGTAAAAGGAAAAGGTAACTGGGGTCTGGCTGTGGTCAGGGGTCTATTGCAGCAATCAGTGTACAAGAGTTTGACCTTTCAGTTGGTAAACGTCGGTTATCCAAGTAAGCATTTACAGCCATTGCCGAGTCACAACCTGCCAGTTACTATTTCATGGTCACCTCTTCACTAAAGTCGGGTCCATGTGGCTTCACAATATTGGATTTTAGCAGTAGCGTGTCTATGGTGCTGAAAACAAGGTAAATAAAGTGTTTGCACACCAGCCCCTGACCCCTAACCCTTAGCTAATCTTTAAAGTGAACATGTGACCAGACTATGGATATTTAAGTATTTACAGACTTTTAAAAAGCAGTAAATGATGTTTTAAAACAAGCCCTTAGTTACTTCTGTAGCTGCATGCATTGTGGAGCAATTACCAAACTTCACAGAAAGGACCATGATCCCTAGAGACCAGCTGAAGCCAGTCCACCAAATACTTGGTAGGGGCTCTCCTGAAGAGAGCCCCTACCAAGCCGACAGAATCGCTTCCAGTGTAAAGCTGACAGTTGGCTTTACAAGTGTAAACACAGAGGTCGGGAGTCCGTTTAAAGGTGCCTGCTGCCAGCAGGGCTGGATTCCCCACAAGACCACCGAGGCCATGGCCATGGAGTGGCAGGGAATAGAGGGGCACCACAGCCGATACTGGCCCTTTAAACTTTTTAGGAGGTTCGGCTGCCTGAGGTCCTGAGCTTGCTGGTGACCAAAGGCAGCTGTCTGTAATAGTGCCGGTCCGGCTGCACATTGCCTCCTCCTCCTTCCCAGCGCCGGCAGAGCACAGGACAGCCCTACACCCACCAGCACAGGCCTGGAGCCCGGCATGAGCCCAGATCCCACCCGTTAAGCCCTAGAGATGCAGGAAAATGTCACTTTCGGCATTTAGCCGAAAGTGCCATTTTCGGCCGGCGCCCCCCCTTCACTTTTCGCCCGGGGCCCGCTCCCCTGCTGCCCCCCCGGTTGTTACGCCACTGCACGCAGTCATGGTGAGACTCGCATGCATCCCTGGTCAGACCTGCACGCATTCCTGCTGAGATCTTCACACATCCCTGCTGAGATCTTCACACATCCCTGCTGAGATCTGCATGCCTACCTGGTGCGACCTTCATGCATCCCCGCTCTCCTGCTGTCTGGCCAATGTTGGTGGTGCAGTCTTCCTCCCAGCCCGTAGCAGCTGGAGTGGGTGAAGGAAGGTGCCCGTTGCCGCCGAGGAGCCCGACTATTGAAGCAGGCATTCAAAGAGCAGCTGAACCGGTCTTTTCTCCTCCCGGCCGCTGCAGCTAGAGCGGCCGAGAGGAGAGAGATGACAGGTGGGATCGCTGTGGCGGCTGTCTAAAGGCCCCCCGCCAAAGCGACTCAGGTGGCCCGCACGGCATCAGGGGGACCCTTTTGTTACCCATAGCGGCCGCCTGGGTCGCTATGGCAATAGGTTCCGCCACAGGCGAGTTAGCACCTAACTCGCCTAATTAGAGAGCTGCCTCTGCCTGCATCCCTGATGAGATCTGCACGCATCTCTGGTGAGACCCAAAAGCAGCCCCGGTGCGATCTGCACAAACACCTGTATAATTGCTGTGTAATCATGGATTGATGGTCACTGTAGTCCTCTATAGCTGGTTGACATTCTCCATTGCTGTATAGTTAATGATTGCACCACAATAGAGAATGGGGGGTGGAGGGGGGGTTGTTGGGCAGGGAGGGGGGCGCATTGAGGAACCTGGCCTTGGGGCAGCAGAGAGTAATTCCGGACCTGGCTGCCAGCAACGTATGCAATGCTGTCAGTGGCAGTGAAATACGTTACAAAACCATTTTAAACGCATCTTATTGCACATAGTGTGAATGGTGCCTCATACTTCAGCAGTACTGGATGTGCTTCTTGTTGATAAAGCATAAAATAAATTATTTGCATAACTCCGCCCACTATTCTAAAATGAAGAATAATCCTCTTATTTTTGGGATATGTGATGGAATGAGACATGTGAACGCCTTCTGTGCTAAGAAGCTTTCACTGTGCTACACAATCCATTTGTAGTGCTTTTTGATCCCTTTAGTCCCCTCACCAGAACCGGTCCAAATCTAAGAGCAGAACAATTATCCGGAGATCCGCTACAGATATCGTCCGTCCATCGGAGTTCACTAGGATCACCCCCCTCGGAACCCGCCTCTTATTCACACCTCCTAGCCCCGCCCAGCCACACAGCTCCGCTGCCAATCACCTCCGCCCAGGCACCGCCCCTCTTTGTTGTTCTGGCCAATGGTGTGCAGCGGAACGTCCCTGACCGCCGGGTGACAGTGTTACAATGTAACAGGCGGCTGGGAAGCGATCCAGTGTGACGGGCTGCCGCTGGGAGATGGCCGGACGGAGCTCTCCGGGGACAGCAGGTAAACGAACGCTGCAACCCGGGCTGTGTCCCCCGGGAGAGGGGAGCGGAGGAGCGCTGTGATCGGAGGGTGGGAGATGCCGCAGTGTTGAGCCCGATCTGCTGCAGGGACTCCCGTGTAGAGTGAATGGGAGACACACACACAGCGGTGATCATTGTACTACTGCATGCAGAATGGGATCAGAGGCTGGGGGAGTATGGACAGGGTTATGGGGGGAGGTGCAGCATTGCACACTTCTATCTGAATATTAATGTCATCAGGTCAATCATATTCTTATATATAATGTTTTATATCTGATGTATTAGCCCATAGGATGAATATTAATGTCACCCCAGTCACTTGTGATCATTATCAGCATTATGTTATTACTGCTGTCATCACCCGGCTCAAGCCCCAATTTTTCAGAAAAATTAGTATCCATACGCCGTGCCAATTTAATAGCGCTATGTACAATTGCGTATTTTAGTAGTAGGCGCATCTATGTGCAGATCACAACCGGCAATCGTCGTCTGATGAACGTAAACGCAGGACACGTGTTGATTCACCGCATGTACACACAAGCGTTGACAAGGCAGTGCAAGTGCATTATGGGAGAAGACCGTGGACAAGGCTGTTGGTGCATGAGGCCGCACAAAGCTAAAAGAGTGCTCAGTTCAGTAGTATTTTGCGTGATACGTTACATTCTGCAACAGCTTTGACGGCCGGAATACAGTAGGCAAGGCAGCGTGTTGTAGTAAGCACTTTACACACTGTGGAAAAAGGCAATAGCAAAATGCGTTGCAGCACAGGTTATCACGCTGCTGTGCGTTGAAGCAGAAAAAACACCATGTCTGATTTTTTAAAATATCCATTCTTGTGTGTTGGCAAATGGGATGCCTTGATGCAACACGTGACATGTTACATATGATGCGCCGCACGGGCGTTACAGCAGAGCCGGACTGATCCCAGGAGCCAGGTCGCCAATGTGCCTTAAAAATTACACACGACGCACCGCACAGGCGTTACTGCAGAGCCGGACTGATCTCAGAGGCCAGGTCGCCAATGCTCCTTAAAAATAACCTAACTTTTCAGGACTTCTCTAGTTGTCGCCAATGGAGCTGACTCCTACAAAATCCTGCTGGCTCCTGGATTGGACAGACTGGCTCCTGACTTCTATAGTCATTGGTCCACCCCTGCATTAATGCAACACACAAGAACAGCGAAGTGTGAAGGGGCCCCGAGGCGTCTAAATACAGTCATAGGGAAGCATTGTATATTGGTAGATAAAACAGATTTGTTTGGTATGTGATGCGCAGTTTGTTTTGTAGCTCATCTGCCTATCGGCCAATCCAAGTGCGCCAAAGTAAATCACTTGGCAGCCCGCTGGCGTGCACCAGCGTCCATGTATATGTGCATGCCGGCAGTCTGTGGTTTCCTCTGGATAGGTTGGCTGAATGATGGATTGCAAATCGTTTGGGACGTTCCAAAGTCCAGTAATCAGCGGTTGCAGGATTTCAAATTTGTCCGATTCCCCCGTGGATGAGAGTACCGGACATGCGCAAAGTCATTCCGGAGGATCAACAAATCATAGTTTGCTTGTGTATGGTGAGAACTGCAGATCCGGCAGAGGATTGCGAATGGATTAGCGCATATCTAGTCTAGGCTTCTGTATCTGCAGCAACCTTCAGCTGCCTCCGGGCAGTCACACATTAGATATGATTTTGGTGTAGAATGCAGATGATGCAGTGTATAGTGAGCGAGCTGCGGCTGCCTGGCTCGGTGTGGATGTAGTACGGGCAGCCTGGTATTGTGCCACATTGACGTTGTATTGTAGTATTTTCATTCAGTCAGCATCCAGTGTTAATCCATTGCAGCTGGCTGATGCAGTATCCTGGCGGAACGAAAGGAGATGCATTACACATCTATGTGGGGCAGATCGCGTTTCCTGCCGCTCTGACTGCTCCTCATTGTCTGGCCTTTGACACGTGTGCATCGCATTTCTCTGGAAATCTGCATTTAGCCTGATGTGATGGCAGAGGTGGCAGTGCCATGCAGGGATCCATATTCTTGGGCGCATGCGTGTGGTTACAGGAACAGAAAACGTGTAATAGATGAAGGTTTGGGTTCATTTAATCCCAATGACTAAAATCCGATTTAAAGCTCCCAGTAAACATTGCTCCCCTTAAATCATCGCCAATCTAGAACATGAACCCCTTCCCCCCCCTTTTTTTTTTATTCACTTTCTGGCCCACCCCTATCTTCCATTCCCACCTAGGCAAGAATGGCGTGCTGGGCGTTTGGTGTCTCCCGGGGTAATGCATGTTGCATATCCCAGGAGACATTGGCGTTCATACAGTGGACAGAGGAGGAAGGTGGGCCTGGCGCGCCCTGGACCCGGAAGAGACAACCAGCTACCAATGGCATCAGGGCAGAAGATGGCAGCGTAGGATCCATCGTGTGGCAACGTAACGCAGATCACAGAGGGACAGCGCTGGATCTGCTGGGCAGTATGTGAATCGAGGATAACCCAACATTAGGTAATTAAATGTCGGTGGGGTGAAGCTTTAGTCTCATATCTTCAATTTGATTTACAATGTTTTTAAATCTGCAGCTTTTTCTAAATACCCGATCCTTGTTAGGCTTTTCTAGTTAAAGGGTGACAACACTCTGTCACTGATACCCAATTCTGCTCCTGCGTTGTCACCCTGTCACATGCGCTTCCAGTGGAGACCACAAGTGGCCATTTCCACATAGATTAGGCAGGCGCGGCCCTCTGTGATCACCAGTGGACAGCCTGCATTGAGAGATGCCATACGACCATCGCTGGACAGGGGGTAGCTATGAAGAGGCTGCAGGAGATCAGTAGCACTGATATGCAACAAAGGATGAAAACAAATATTTGATTACAAAAATGAGCTGATCATATCATGAAAAATACACAAATGGATGTTAGATGTCTGGTGAATAGTGCATGCCAAAAGCCTCCCTGGTGGGTGTTCAGGGGGAATTGTGGCCCCTGTGTCCTGTAGGCGCCATGTTTTGTGTCTGAAGGTTCTCATGCATCACGGTCAAGGTACGGCTTGTGGTAGTTGGACGTATTGAGCTGCACTTGTGTTGTAATGTTTAAGATGTTTCACCATTCAGGCAGTTCTGAGGAAGCCGCTGTGATGAGTGGTGAAATGCCTTCACCGTTACACACCGTGACTAACTACCACTAAGAGCTGTCACGAGATTAAACAAATCCTAAAAGAATCCTGTATCCTTCTGACCCATATTTATGGTGTAACATGAAGCATGGTCCCCCCCTCCCCCCCTCCGCTTTCCTGGATTGAGGGGTTCTTCTCCCCACAGGCTCTTGTTTTCATTAGAATTTGAAGTCATCCATTCACAGGGATCCGTAGGGTTGTTCTCAGGTTCTTCAAACCTATGCAAGCCTATGGGAAGAAGTGTTAATCACCTTCCAGGTCCGGGGAGGACTATTGGAGCACAGAGCCAGAGGACAGAGGAGATCTCAAGATACACTATATTGCCAAAAGTATTGGGACGCTGGCCTTTACCTGCACATGAACTTTAATGGCATCCCAGTCTTAGTCCGTAGGGTTCAATATTGAGTTGGCCCAGCCTTTGCAGCTATAACAGCTTCAACTCTTCTGGGAAGGCGTCCACAAGGTTTAGGAGTGTGTCTATGGGAATGTTTGACTATTCTTCCAGAAGCGCATTTGTGAGGTCAGGTACTGATGTTGGACGAGAAGGCCGGGCTCGCAGTCTCCGCTCCAATTCATCCCAAAGGTGTTCTATCGGGTTGAGGTCAGGTTCCTTCACCCCAAACTTGCTCACCCATGTCTTTATGGACCTTGCTTTGTGCACTGGTGAGTGGTCATGTTGGAACAGGAAGGGGCCATCCCCAAATTGTTCCTACAAAGTTGGGACCATGAAATTGTCCAAAATGTCTTGGTATGCTGATGCCTTAAGAGTTTCCGTCACTGGAATAAGGGGCCAAGCCCAACCCCTGAAAAACAACCCCACACCATAATCCCCCCTCCACCAAACTTTACACCTGGCACAATGCAGCCAGACAAGTACCGTTCTCCTGGCAACTGCCAAACCCAGACACGTCCATCGGATTGCCAGACAAAGAAGCGGGATTCGTCACTCCCAGAGAACACGTCTCCACTTCTCTAGAGTCCGGTGGTGGCGTGCTTTATACCACTGCATCCGACGCTTTGCATTGCACTTGGTGATGTAAGGCTTGGATGCAGCTGCTCGGCCATGGAAACCCATTCCTGAAGCGCTCTACGCACTGTTGTTATGCCAATCTGAAGGCCACATGAAGTTTGGAGGTCTGTAGCTATTGACCGTGCAGACAGTTGGCGACTTCTGCACACTGTGTGCTTCAGCATGCGCTGACCCCGCTCTGTAATCTTACGTGGCCTACCACTTTGTGGCTGAGTTGCTGTTGTTCCCAGTTGCTTCCACTTTGTTATAATATCACTAACAGGTGACCGTGGAATATTTTAGTAGCAAGAAAATTTTATAGAACACCGGATTCCATTGATTTGGAGGGGTGTCCCAATACTTTTGGCAATATAGTGTACCTGTAGCTGAGAGGGTTGGTGCGTGGTCTAGATGAGTGTTCAAAGAGGTGATGGTGGTGGTCTAAAAAGTTGGAGCACAAGACGCTGCATTGAACTTGGATCAGTGTGGTGAAGGTCTTGGGGTGAGCTTTGTGGACTTTTATTGAGGCTGAATTTGGACATTTGTGCTTTAGCACAGTTTTATAAATAGTTTGGGCACCGGGTCTCTGCGTCACCATTAGCAGCAGTGTGGTCAGCCTGCCGTTTGGCCTCCTACAGTTGACTGTTGGGATGCCTGTCCGATAGACCTGTTTGTCAGCTCGTTGGCCAGTTGACGGCTGATGGCTGCTGCAAATTTCAAGGAAGTAGCTTGTTCTTCTCAGGATATCCAGGTAAGAGGTTCACAAACAATGATTTGCTGAAGAAAACTGCATACCGTTAAAGCCC